AAAAACCCTGATTCGAAAACAACCAAGAGGAGGCGTACGAACCACACCCACACCATTTCGGTTGTGGCTGTGGTCACCGGCTCGATGAGGCACCTTAGGCGTTTCACCCCGTCCGAAGGGCGTATGATCCGATGAACTGGACACCGACTCCCAATGGACTGCGATGTTCACACACCGCCCCGCTGCCTTGCGGGTCGGGCTTTGGCTAGCCGAAGGCTCCGGCTGTGAATTCCTCAAGAAAATTCACCTGTCTTGGCCTGGACAACCTGGCAGTAGTTAGCCCACAAGCCAATCATGGAACGTTCCCCTAGAGTAAGGTCGATTAAAGAAAAGCTAAAACCATAAGTTACGGGGATAATAATATAATGTTTAAATCTCAACTTAGAACGTAATGGTTTTTCCTGATGCGTATTGCGGTTTTCGGACGAATTTCATCATTCATTTTGTTGTTAGTCACAGTTAATATCTTTTTCTTCTCCAAACCCTCACCATGACACACGACTTCTCTCAAACTAGCATTTGGACTGGAGCTCATTGCAACTCGATCCACAGTCGGTTTTGCTCCGTCTTCCCGAAACCGCTTCTTGTGGTATATCGTGTGTTATCCCCGATGGAGATGTACCACCGTAAGTTACTAATTATTAATGGGCTGTTGATCTCAGAAACCGAAGCTTATAGAAGAAAAACAATTGTAAGACAGATCAATAAGTCATTTTGTATCTATCATAATTTGGTGCACTCTTGATGAATGTTATTTTGGAACCGAAACCTTGGTTTTTTTGAATGACCAATAGATTCAATGAACGAGCATACCCTAATTTAAATCGTCGACTCAAACCGCGTCTGTCATTTTGAATTCCACTTTTTCTCGTCTAAACAGATACATTTCTTGCGTTCAACGAACTCCTTTATTATTTTTTTGTGCCTACTTCCAGTTCCATAGCCAATGAAATAGTGTCCACACCGGGCACTCATCGTCAGCTACTTGAGGGTTTATTGTCAAACGGAGAACCAATAGCCTGTGCAAGTGCTCTTCGACCGGAGATGATCCGCGTTGCTCCCCCGTTGCTCCCAACCCCACAGGGAACATCGTCAAATCCAACCACTCCAAACGGATCGGAATCCGCCAAGTCCCCGACCATATTGGCCCAGGATGATTTACTATCCGAGGAATTGATTTGGCTCAATCCAACCACAATTCAGCATGAGTTTCACTGGAACACAAACATTGAGGAGGCCAGTCCAACCTCCGAGGTGAGTTAAGCTCCACTGCAATCTAAGTGTCATTTGTGCAACGGCACACATAATAAACTCAGCAAAATAATTCTACACGTAGTATTCTACTCAAAGTGTGTGCATGCAAAACTGCGACTCCAGTCAGTCGCCGCATCGCTCTCGTCCTGTTGGTAGCACTTGTGTATGGATCTTCAAATAATAAAGTATATTTTCTTTGAAATTGGAGACATTCACCGATAGAAATTCGAATAAATCGCTCAAGTTTTCGACAGTAAACGGTGTACTTTTGAAATTATTTCGCTGTATCTCAATTGGTGTGTGCTTTAGAAAAAAAGTAGCAATACATAAAAGAAAAAACAGGGTAGAATTTCTTTGTTAAATTACACACCTAAGTTTAATGAACAGCTGACAGTGCGGACCCCATAGTCACGAGGACCTGCCGTTCAGTGATTGAAACCGGCAACCTAAGCCCCGGGACTTGGAGTGGCGAAACACATAAGGCCCCGATATGTTACACGTGGTATTGAACCGGACGACAGCAGACCTGCCTACCGCCAAAGTCGGGTGGTGGTGGCGGGTTCAAACCTCGGACCATAGGGTCCAAAGCACGCCAGTGACAGCGACTAAACCACTGTGCCACCACCACTGTTTGCACAAGGTGAGTAAGTCATAATAGTCGGGACCTTCTGGCCCGATATATAACTGAATGATTAATCACGATCTACTTGGTGCCTCGCTGTGAACGATTTGGGATTTTTGTGCTCGGTCCCTGTTCGGCTGTTATTGTGCACCATTCATTGCGCCGACCTCCCCCTGAGGCCATTCCTGATTGTGCTCGGTCTCTGTCACTCTAAACGTCTCTCCGTCTTACCGATGTAAGAGAATCCGTGTCCACTTTCTACTCGACTTGGTGCGGAGGGGAAACAAGTTTTGTTTTTTCAAAGTACCAATTTTCCGCCGAAATACCTCGGAACAAACAAGATATCCGTCGCTAAGGCACTTACTCTACTCGTTTCATGTTAATCTGAATAAGAATCAACATTTGTATACAATACATCTCATCAGATATCTGCAACAAATGAATTCCATCAATCCCAGCCATAATGCAAAACTTTTCCAACCATTCGGTTTGTCAGTGATGTGATTGGGTTCAGTACATTTTGCTAGAGCTTTTCGTACGTCATGGGTTGTAAACCAGCCAGGTGTCAGGAGCTCCTGACAACAACAACAACAACAACAACAACAACAATAACCAGTTATCGACCGTTGAGACTATTATTTGGACTACTGTTTCTGCTCTGTTTTGCACATCAACTAGCACTTCATTGCTTCTTACCCGTAGTCTGGATTACATTGTTTGTCACGCCGTAAATATCCATCACCCACGTAGGCATCGTCGTCCGGCTCAACACCACGCCTACTCTAGTGTGATATTACATGGTTCGTCACTAAATCCCAATTTCCAGGCTTCATGAGTGAACAGTAAACCCTAGTGATTGTAGATATTATCCCTTATACTCCTCATAGAAGCATGGTGTTGAACGGATGCGCATGCCTTACAATTGTAAGGACAACTTTTCAACGGAACATATTTTTTTCGCACATTTGTCTATCTTGCAACAATAGCACTCCATTTTCTCTTGTTTTCTGAAAGATGCGAGTTTTGGTAGCTAATGCGCTTCGTGCGGCGTTACCTCAGCCACAACAGCATACGCTTTTGAACGCGATTAAAGAAAACCCCGGGCTTGTGCCTAATCTGGGCATCACAGCGGAAAATGTGAGTTCCATGTTTCATGGCATACATTGCAAATTAACATAATAGTGCAGCATGTCGGGACAGCTACTAATTTTCGATACTTTTTCAAATCTGTAACCTGTTTCACGTCCACCACGATCATATTCGTCATTTTGTGTTTATTATATCTCTCTCACAAACACAAAACCTTTGAGTCGGGATCCGAAATCTTGAGCTACAATGTCGACAGTCAACATTGAGAGTACATTCATTCCTCGGTTCTTTGGATTCTTTTATTCAGTTGTTTTGTTCGCGCTTATTAAATTGAGGCGATCAATCCCACCCTACGATTCACACTAGGTTTTACACTTCTAAATCAATCATAGGCAGTCCAATATGCTTTGAACCGCTTGGCGATAGAGGTATCCAGGTATGGTATGTTCTTTGCACCATCCAAGTGCGAAGTTCTGGTTCAAG